TTAATAACTCTGTAGTGTCTCTTGGTATAAATAGCCAACCCAGTCTCACGGCATTTCGTGTTATAGTCACGAAATTAATCTATTGATTCGTGTTCACCAACACGATTTCGCCATTTTTTTCGTGTCACACAGAACGATTTTAAAAGCAATGTAAATAATAACAAATTAGGAGGAAAAAGATATTAAAAAAAATACAGATTTCAGTATTCTGACGGAACGATTTTAGAAGCAATGTATTTCTATTGGTAGTATGTTTCGTGCCTGCACCAAAGAATAACAAATTAGAAGGAAAGAAAGATGACAAAAAATCAGTGGCGAACCGTGTCTATCACAACTGGACCTTCTGTAGACCCCCCCCCCCCCTCCGCGGCATTATAATGTCCGTCTTTTCACTGAATTGTCGTCTTGAAAAGGGTACTCACAACAACTCCGCAACAACTTCATCTTCACCTGTTGCACTTGTCATTTCAACGTTAAAAACAATAAAACGGCATGAATTGCTTCGTCGCATTCTAGATCCTCTGTCTCTCTCCAGTTAACTAGCGGGCCTTCTAGAATACCCTGGAACCGAGGGGAACTCTGAAAGAACACGCCCATTGGCTACAAGTCAATATATGATCCATCTTCTCCCGCTTATCCATGGTCGGGTCTCGGGGGTAGCAGTTCCAGCAGAGAGCCCCAAACTTTCTTTTCCCTGGCGACATCAACCAGCTCTGACTAGGGGATCCCAAGGCGCTCCCAGGCCAGCGAAGAGATATAATCCCTCCACCTGGTCCTAGGTCTACCCCTTGGTCTCTTCCCAGCTGGACGTGCCTGGAACACCTCCCTAGGGAGGCACCCAGGTGGCATCCTAACTAGGTGCCCGAACCACCTCAACTGGCTCCTTTCGACGCGAAGGAGGAGCGGCTCAACTCCGAGTCCCTCCCTGATGACCGAACTTCTCACCTTATCCCTAAAGGAGACACCAGCCACCCTGCGGAGAAAACCCATCTCGGCCGCTTGTATCCGCGATCTGGTTCTTTTGGTCATGACCCATCCTTCATGACCATAGGTGAGGGTAGGAACGAAAATGGCCCGGTAGACAGAGAGCTTTGCCTTCTGGCTCAGCTCCCTTTTTGTCACAATATGATTGGTTGATCAAACTGTCAGTCCAAACGTATGCTCTCATTCAGTGCAACGGCCAGGGCCTCCTATCAAGGATGTAGAATACCTTGTTGAAGGATATTCTACCCAGAGACCCAGAACAAGATCTGATTGGTTGCTTTCTTTTCTAACACAAAACCACTGAAATGCGTAGTGCATGGTCCGAGAAGGATAAACAAATCAAAGTAACACTGTAATATTACAGATCAACAACACAGATACCATTCTCATTTATTCATTTTATATACATTTTATTTATATAATTAAATCGATGTTTTGTTTGTTTTATCTGAGTGTTCCAGGGTGTTCTCTGAATACCTTGAGGGCGCTGACGGTTCGCCACTGCAAAAAATACAGATTTCAGTTTTCTGTGGCTCTGAGCCATTTATTTTCCTCACGGACGGCAAAAAAACTCGGACATTATACAATCCAAAATAAAAGGGATAGTTAGGCTTAGGGTAAGAAATTGAGTAAGAAAATGTTTTTATGAACCACACAGCTTCTGGTATTCCAAGACCCGACCGGACAAAAAGACGTGGTGGTGCAGGCACGAAACACACTACCAATAGAAATGCATTGCTTTTCAAATCGTTCTGTGTGACACAAAAAAAAATGCAAAAATCTTGTTGGTGAACACGAATCATTACATTAATTTCGTGACTATAACACAAAATGCCGTGAGACTGGGTTGAAATAGCACACCGGACTGCAGACTAAAGCTTATGTGGACAGTTTATAATAACTCTCACTGTCAGAAAGAGAGACAAAAGTCCACAATGCTGAAATGTAGAAGAACTATCAGAGACTCAGTTAACTTGTCAGTGTGCTGTTGAACTATAAACGTTAGCTATAACTGACTAGCAAACGTTAGCTGTTTATCTAACAAGCTGGCCTGCAGGTGTTAGATATCCATCAAACTAAGTAGTAGTAAGTAAGCCTATATCTACTAAACTAACTTGCCAACATTTTTTTAATCTAACTAGTAATCTGGTTTACGTTGACTAACAAGCTAGCTAGTGAAATGTTAGCCATCTTTCAAAGTAGGTAGCTAACGTTAGCCTTCTACTTCACAAGCTATTCAACAAAAGTGAGCTTTCTGAACAACACAGAGCTACTTAAGTTTGGCACCAATCTAACAAGCTAGCTGGTGAAATGTTAGCCATCTTCCAAAGTAGGTAGCTAATTTTAGCATTCTACTTAACAAGCTATCCAACAAAAGTGAGCCAATCCGTTTAGCCGGGCCGGATTGCCGCCCTGTCTGTCAGCCTTCTATCTCGTGCACGCACAAATGTATCTCGTGCTCTCATTGGCCGTGCATTGCGCGTTCATGTGTGTTGGAGGAGGTGCTCTGTAAGGAAGTCTGAAGGAAGGGGCGGATTCTTTTCGGCTGTGTACTTTCACATTTTAGTGCATGGATGATTTTTGTTATGTTTTTTTAGCTTTAGCGGTTTCTGAAACTTACCTACCCCACCTTTAAGTTTGCTACCTGAAAAGCTAGCTGGTGAAATGTTAACCATTTATCAAAGTAGGTAGCTAACGTTAGCATTCTACTTAACAAGCTATCCAACAAAAGTGAGCTATCTGAACAAAGAAGTTTAAGTTTGCTTTCTATGTATCTAGTTAACTGTCTTTCGTTAGCTACCGTTGTTAGCCTTGCCGTGGGGACCTGTGTCTGTTCAGCAGTGAATAACTATAAACACATTGTTGATATGCTTTTTTTCAGCAAATCGGCTGCTCTCATACACATGCATGCAAATTAGTCACTTAACGCTGATTTGGGTGACTTGTGTAATTGTAAAAAGAACCGTAGAGTTTTTGTTTTGGGGGGGGGTCCGACTCACGGACTAACGGACAAACGGACAACTTCTCACTTCAAAACACTACTGAGACATTTTGCGAAGACGTCATACCATAACCAGGGTTCCCACACATAGACTTTACTTGGACGGGCCGCCCAGGTATATGAATGGCCACCAAATTATATGTTTGTATCCGTCCGCGAGCACGATGCCATCTACGATCGATTAACCAGTGGACAATGATCCCTCGCTCTACGCCTCCTGTACCTGTTTGCTCTACTATCGCGTGAAGGGTCTGCTAACAAGCGACCAACAGAAAGGGAGACACATCAGTCAAACGCAAATGCGGTGCAATTCTGCGCTCCGCAGTAACCCCGCTGCGAGGCTCCGGCGAACTAACAGAACTAACAGTTCACGGGCGTGCTTATTCCCCCCCGGCTACCACCACAAGTATACTTCAGATCTGTCAAAACTGAAGCCCTTAAAGTTAATAGTGTTTAATATCTACCTGTAAATAATAATAAAACCCCTCAACATCTCTGTCTCCTATTGATCTGAGTATATTATAACGAACAGCAATTGAAGCATTATCGCACAGGCCTTTGTCAACGCTGTTTTTTTTCTGCTTCGAATAGTTCTCTCTTTTTTCACCATACGTGTGTTTGCATCCCTGCATCCCTGCATCCGGCAGCAGCTCCTCACCGCTGCAAGCATCACTGAACATTTCTAAATATGCCTTATTTGGATGAACTTATCAGTTTGTGATCTAAACAGTTGATTTCTTCCCCAAAAGGTATTATAACTTCATAAAAGTTCATTCAAACGTTTAAAAACGGTTTCTTTGGAAGTAAAGGTTGATAAAGCTAATGGTGCGAAGTGATAGCAGTAACACTAACAAAGCTGTAGACCAGGACTCTGTCGGCTATCATTAAAGATATCCTACTTGTATTTATGTTACAAACCTAAGAGGATTGTCCTTTTTTACCTTCACTGCACTTTTAGTTGTGTCTAATTGATGTATGTGAAATGTGAGATGTGTTCCCTGCTCCGGCTTGTTGTGTCATTCAGAGGGAGCTCCGAATGCAAAGTAACCTGAATGCGAGTGATGTCAGCCCCTCCATTCATGAAACACGTGAATAATTGAGGGCAGCAGCAGCAGCAGGCTCGGAGCACCGAGTAGAGGCTCGGTGCTCCGAGTAGAGGCTCTGAGCACAGAGTAGAGGCTCAGTGCACCGAGTAGAGGCTCAGAGCACAGAGTAGAGGCTCGGAGCACAGAGTAGAGGCTCAGAGCACAGAGTAGAGGCTCGGAGCACAGAGTAGAGGCTCAGAGCACCGAGTAGAGGCTCAGAGCACAGAGTAGAGGCTCAGAGCACAGAGTAGAGGCTCGGAGCACCGAGTAGAGGCTCAGAGCACAGAGTAGAGGCTCAGAGCACAGAGTAGAGGCTCAGTGCACCGAGTAGAGGCTCAGTGCACCGAGTAGAGGCTCAGTGCACAGAGTAGAGGCTCGGAGCACAGAGTAGAGGCTCAGTGCACCGAGTAGAGGCTCAGAGCACAGAGTAGAGGCTCAGTGCACCGAGTAGAGGCTCGGAGCGCAGAGTAGAGGCTCAGAGCACAGAGTAGAGGCTCAGAGCACAGAGTAGAGGCTCAGTGCACCGAGTAGAGGCTCAGTGCACCGAGTAGAGGCTCGGAGCACAGAGTAGAGGCTCAGAGCACAGAGTAGAGGCTCAGTGCACCGAGTAGAGGCTCGGAGCACAGAGTAGAGGCTCGGAGCGCAGAGTAGAGGCTCAGAGCACAGAGTAGAGGCTCGGAGCGCAGAGTAGAGGCTCGGAGCACAGAGTAGAGGCTCAGTGCACCGAGTAGAGGCTCGGAGCGCAGAGTAGAGGCTCGGAGCACAGAGTAGAGGCTCGGAGCGCAGAGTAGAGGCTCAGAGCACAGAGTAGAGGCTCAGTGCACCGAGTAGAGGCTCGGAGCGCAGAGTAGAGGCTCGGAGCACAGAGTAGAGGCTCGGAGCGCAGAGTAGAGGCTCGGAGCGCAGAGTAGAGGCTCGGAGCGCCGAGTAGAGGCTCGGAGCGCCGAGTAGAGGCTCGGAGCGCCGAGTAGAGGCTCGGAGCGCAGAGTAGAGGCTCGGAGCGCAGAGTAGAGGCTCGGAGCACAGAGTAGAGGCTCGGAGCACAGAGTAGAGGCTCGGAGAACAGAGTAGAGGCTCGGAGCACAGAGTAGAGGCTCGGAGCACCGAGTAGAGGCTCGGAGCACAGAGTAGAGGGGGAATGCAAAGTGAAAGCCATCTCTCTCCTCAGTTGCTCCCTCCCTCCCTCTCCCTCCGTCTCGTCCTGTGAGCCGTGAAGCTCTGAGAGCAGCGATCGAAAGAGACGCTCGGATATGGGTGGAAAAGAAAGGGGGAATGGAAACATGCAGGTTGCGAGAGAGAGCGAGAGCTTATCAGTTAAACAGGGGGTGAGCGCTAGGAAGAGACCGTTTTCTGGGGATACGTTTTCATCGCTGCTTCCTCCTCCTCCTCCTCCTCTTCCTCCAGGCATGCTCGTTCATCCCTCTCTCCTCTCCGCCTCCTCATCCTGAATGAAGCCGTTTGTCTCCACATGGCTACGACCAGGTTAGTGCCACAGCCCGCCCTTCATCACCTGGCTGCTCTGTGATGCTGCGTAGTGACTGTCACCGTGTCTAGAAGGACAGTGTGCGATATTACTTTAATGTCAGATCTGTGTGTGGGACTTTTGTTTTGGAAATGCATCACAGTTTGCAACACCAACTGCATATTGTAGATCAGATGGACTTTGATTAATCCCCGTGGGGAAAGTCAGTTTAAGCAACAACAGGGTGAGAATGAAAAACAGGACAACACAGAGATAGAGATAGATACAATTATATCCAGTTAAGTAACTTTAAAATAAGAAATGCATTTAAAAAATGAACATATATACATATTTAGGTATATCTCAGTATATTAGATATATTTACATGTATTTAATAGAATCATTTATTGTCGTTATACAGGTACAAGAGACGTACAACATTCAGGAGAAGACAACAGACAACAAGCATTCATACTTCATGTCGACTCGGTTAAGACAAGATGCAAGGAAACTAACATTGACATTAAAAAGGAGCTCCTCTTGAGCACCTGTGGCTCTTTGGCAGCCGGTGCTCATTGAGAGTAAGCTGGTTATTAGCAGATCAGAGAAAGATCAGCGGCCCTAAGCCTGCTGGAGAGAATCTCCTGCGTCGCGTCCCTCTCTCTGTATTCGTCTTGGTTTCCAGAGAGAGAGAGAGCTCGGGGTTTGGGACGATCCGCTGGGTGAACAGCTCGTTGATGGGGGCGGCACACGAGGACATGGCGATGTTCGAGTGTGAGAGCAGTGAAGAGGGCTTCTACGGAGAGGTGCTGGGCGACTGTGTCTTCCAGCAGGGGTACGGGAACGTGTGTGTGTGTGTGTGTGTGTGTGTGTGTGTGTGTGTCAGAGAGAGAGAGAGAGGGTGGGGTGGGGCAGAATGGGTTGAATCAGTGTTTTTTTAAACCTTTTTGTAGCCACGTTCATAGGTGTCATTTATACTAAGGACATGTCGTCCCTTGTGTGTGTGTGTGTGTGTGTGTCAGTGTTTTGGGGGGGGGTGTGTGTGTGTCAGTGTTTGGGGGGGGTGTGTGTGTGTCAGTGTTTTGGGGGGGGGTGTGTCGGAGAGAGAGGGTGCGTGGGGCAGAATGGGTTGAATCAGTGTTTCTCACCCTTTATTGAGCCACGCACTGTAGGCGTCATTTATACTTATTTTTGTTTGACTTTTGAAACTCTATTATTGGCCCCTCTTGTTTGCTCAACATGTAAAGCTGACCTTGATCTATTATTACTATGTTCATTATACTGAGGACCCTTGGGAGCATATCCCGTGCAGTGTTGTCTCCTCCACCGCTTTGCATTCGGATCATTTGTTGAAGATGTTCTGAAGCTCAGAGAACGGTTCACTTTGAGAAAGGGTTATTCGCACAACATGTTGAATCTGGAGGACACTCACACTGTGGGCGTGTTTCTGGTGACCCACGTGGGGCAGTTTTGACCTGCGACACGTTTAATATAATAATAATTGAGTGGAGAGTAGCTTTGCAGCATCGTGGCATAGTTGCTGCACTAGTTTGGTAGCTGCTGTATGTTTTGGGCGGGCGATAAATGCAGCGTATTTTTAAATCTGAAAAAAGTTTCCCCGCCACTTTCCTAACAAAGTGACGGCCACGGCCACGGTACATGTTTTACACCAACAACCAAAGAAGGCCTATTGTATCCTCAAACAGCGTGTATATATATATAATTATAATTGAACGACAAGTCTCTCAATTTGTCTGGGAGAGATCTCTCTTGAGGTTCCTCTCATAACCTGTAGCTTGTTTTGAAGAGACGTTTCGTGAGATGGCGTTTAAGCTTTGGAGCACAGCACTGTTGGGTTTTATTTGCAGCTACTAGATAATATGCGTATGTGCCGATTAAGTTAAATGTGACCATTTCCCACGTCACAGTGAGTGGAGCCATTTCCTTAGATTATAGTATCTTATCTTTTTAGAGTATAACCTGAGATTCTGTGGTGTATATTATTTATTTATAATTTGAGTGCGTTCCTCTGCAGGTCGAGGTGCTGCAGCCGACTGGTGCGGCTGACTGAAGCAAACAGTTAGACCTCGCTGGTTGGGAGCGTCACCGCTTGGTTCTTCTGCCTCTAACATTGAAGTATCAGTTTGTAGGACAAATAGTTTGTTTAAAAACGTTTATTTATTTTTGCCTTTTTTGGAATAAACTATCTTACTTTTCAATCGCATCTGGACATTTATATTTTTCCTCTCAAACTAAAGCGTCTATTCGTCGGTCAGCCCCGAGTGAGCCACAAGCAAAGGACACAAACAAATGGATATCGTGGTCACAAAAATCACATGGTGGTGTGAATGATTGGGAGCATTAACTTCTGCAGTGTCACACCTCATGTCGCAGGTGTTGGTTTCACATGAGTTGATGTGGAAAAAGTATTCAGATTCTTTACTTGAGTTAATAACTCAATGTACAAATACTGAATTTCAAATAAAAAGTACTGCATTGAGAATGGTACTGATTTGCATCAATGCTGACTCATTCTGGGGTTTGAGGACTCATTCCTGCACCACTTTATTAATGTTCTGTTAACCCAACCCCGCGGGGGCAAAACGCATCACTGAAATATAATGTTGGATGGTTTAAAAAAATACAAAATAATTATGAAAAATAACAACAGATTGTAAAAATCGGAATGTATATGATGAGCGAACAGGAAGTGGTTAAATGCTGATTTAATTCTGATTTTAAGACTCATTCCTGCACCACTTTATTAATGTTCTGTCAACCCAACCATTGTCACCTACATATTATTTTGGATGGTCTAAAAAAATAAAAAAACATTTATAATAATCTGAATTTATAAAGTAATTCAATCTGTAAAAGTTTGGCTTCTTAACACAAGTAAAAAGTAGTATAAAAGAAAATACACAGTAGAAGTACCTCAAATGTGTACTGAAGTACAGTAAGTGGTTACTCTCCACCATTGCTCGGCTTTTCAGAGCGATCGGAGCTGAAGGGCCGCTGCCAGCTTGGGTTTGTTCCAGGGTCAGCAGAAGAGAGACAACAAAGCGCGGCCTCGGAAAGAACCGGAACAGTTTCCCGTTGTGCTTCTGAACGAGCGGACAGCTTGAGCCGGCGGGATTTACAGCTTTAGAGCTTATTTAAAGGAAAGGCTGCAACACGGCGGCTCAAGTAGCATGCTTGTTTCTCTGTTGTTTGTTTTTGTTTACGCCCTATATGTAAGAACTTGACCTACTTTGAGAGACGTGAACACTCTGAAGTCAGTCGTCTGCAGGGTCTGGAGGGTTGGATTATCATATATTTACTCCACTACATTCAATGTAACACTCACAGATACTTTGAACATGTAAAAAACCATGATATGCTGAACATGCAGTACTAAAACACTAATACACAATATTTCAAGTATCTAAATTTGGTCCACATTGATAAACTGCAATACTGAAATGCTCTCCATGTATAAAAACAGAATAATATTATACCCATTATAATATAATACTGTGAAAAACAACAACTGCGTAACTAGTACTTTTACTTTGAAGCTTGTACATTTAGCTGAAACAACTCACTGTCAGTATATTTCGATGCAAACTAGGGATGCACCGATCGCCAATTTTGGGGCCGATCGCCGGAATCAGTATCGGCCGATACCGACCGCCGATCCGATCGAGTGGGCGGGGCCTAAATGGAAGATTTAAACATCACTTTAAATCTTCCATTTAAAGTGATGTTTAAAACTCAGTTAATGCTCATTATCTGGAGCTTCCACAAACAACAACCAACTTAATTATTACATTCAAATGAAGTTCATTATTCAAGTTAACATTCACTTTGGAGAATAACACGGGAGCTCTTTAGAGAGCTCTCTCCTGAGAGACTGAGAGGCTCTGATAACCTCAGCTCAGTGAGGTAAAGGCACACCTTTATATGATCATTATAGTTATAAAAAAACAAGAGAATATATTTTCATCTATTCTCTTATAGTATAAAATACTATATGACAGTAAAAAAAAGTTGTTATTAATAAACAAGAATACAGTTTAGAAGGGGAGTGATTTGTAAAATATCCATAAATAAAAAGAGTGATGGTGATGGTGGTGGTGAGAGATGTTTCCATAGATCTCCTCATGTTGCTCTCAAAGTGCACCAGATTGATGCTTTTAACTTTTAGCATGCCCCCGGACCCCCCAAGAGGAGGGTAGGTTCACCCGCCACTTAAATCATGTTCAAATGGATAGGATACTAAATACATTTGCACACATCTTGTGTCCATATCTTTTTGTTTTGGTGGTCATGCCACAACCGTGCGTGCATGCGTGCACGAGTCATAGTGAGTGTCTGCATTTGGGGGGGGGGGGGGGCAACAAATTGGTCAGGGCCGGCCCTGTGCACAATGACGCAAGTTTCATAATAGATTACTTCATTGATCAATGTTGGGACATTTCGTCTGCATGTAACTCTTATCCAGTTTACTGTTGTGATTATGGCTGCGTTGGCTAGAACAAAGTCGTGTAAAGTGTGTGGCCACTGCTTAAGATCGCTTTGCACTTTACTACTGTTTTGCACTTCTGGTTGGATGTAAACTACATTCCGTTGTCTTAATACTTCTGTGCTATGACAATAAAGTTGAATTTAATCTAATATATAGATTTGGTGTGTCGGTATAAAAAGTAGAAAGCACGGCTGAACTCACCAAGCCCTTACTTTGGTTTTTAAATATACACAACCTCTCTGATTGGTTGTGATGCATTGTGGGTCCCCCTGCTGTATTTCCCGCTCAGACGGCGTCTCTAACAGCCGAGCAGGGGAAGTATATTTAGTAACACCGTCTGAATATTTAAACCCCTCTCTGTTGCTATAGGGACATTCAGTCTTTTGGAGCGTGGGCGGTGCTCTAAGTCGTTTAATTGTTAAATTGTTAGTCAGCGCTCTCTCTGCAGAGGAGGTTAATGCAGAGCTCGGATCACTTATTCAACGCCACTCAGCAGCTCATGTGATGTAAACA